AAGGAGCCTGAAGCCGCTGCTCGCTTCTGCTTCAGAAACCCCCTAGAAGCGCTCTGGACCTCCAGACAACGAGCGTCAAACGGAGAAGAAACATTTTTAAAAATAACACTTTAATGAATTACTTTATGATTAAAAAAAAAAAAATCCGACAGCTTTGGGACAAGAGGTTGAGCTGGGCAAAAAGCTGAAAAACAGTCACCGAATAATTTAGTTGAGAGGTGTCACAAAATCCACGTAATACGTTATTTGGCGAATGCTCCTCCCCTCCTTGTTCCCGGCGGCAAGGGAGGCCGGCTCCTGCAGTCCCAGGAGAGCTCAGCTCCTTGCCGGGGGGCCGTAGACATCGTCGCAGCAGAAACCCGGACTCTCCTCCTGCGCCTGGAGGCTGGCGGGGTCTCCGGGGGACGCCACGTTCAGGTAGCCGATCTCGGAAGGCTGAGAAGGCGATAAGGAAGACGAGGACTTTTGGCTTTCAGCGCCTTCGTCGGACCTGGCTTCTTGAATGGCTCTCAGCACGCTGAGCGAGTCCGACGGCCCCACCGCTGAGAAGCTGCAAAAGAATTCCCACCCCATGTTCCCTCTGCAAACAGCGTCTCCAGCTGCGTCCTCGCGGGGCCCCACCACCGCCACACCCGCGTGCCGCACGGTCTTAGTGCTGCTACCCCCGGGGGGGGAAAGGTCTAACGTAGAGACAGGCCAAACTCCAGATCCTCACGGGCACTCAGCTGCCTTCCTCCCGAGGAGCCTAACGCCCATTCAGACCCATTAACTGCCCCCTCCTGTTGGCAAGGTCCGAGACTCTAATGGCAAGGTCTGTCGTGCACCCACCACTCCCCAGCGCTCCCTCGCTGCAGCAATAACTACTAGTGCTCGGCTGTGCTGCTGCAGCACTTACAGGCCCAGTCAAAGATTGAGCTCGGGGCTGTGCACAGTCGCAGAAAGCCCCACGGGACTTGCAAACTAAAGGAGGCAGCAGCTAGTAGATGCTGGTTAGCTCCACCCCTCCATCCTACTGCACGACCAAAAGACACAAGGGAATAAAATAAAGGGTGAAACTTGTGTTTTGAAAACAGGAATCCATGGCTTCCCTATTCCCCAATGCTGACAGGACCTGCTATTAGTAAGCAGACCTGGTGCCTTTTTACTCACGGTACCTTGTGTTTGGAAGTGGCAACATTTTACTTAGTAGCTGGCATTCAGAGAAGCCAACGCTCCTCAAGTCCTAGGAAAAGAAGCAGAACAATAATCAACTGATAAAAGGCAGGGAGGGCACGCTCAAGGCAATAAACACGTTGCAAACAAGCCAGAGAGGAAAGGGATATTTTCACACAGTATTTAGAGACGAGAAACTTGGGATCTCAGATGCACGGGAGAAAATTCCAAGGAAAGAGACAGCACGGAGGAAGTTTGTGTGCAGAGGGTTGGTTGGGTGTTTGTGAATGAAAGGGAATGGCTAGTTCCTAAAGGACCAGAAAAACAAAACCCAGAACAAGAGTCCCACGAGCAAGTGACGTTGATGGAAATATTGCCATCAACTAGCACTGCTCCGGTTAGGGAACTATTTCAAACTGGAAGTCCTAAAAAGTGACAGTCTAGATAGCCCTCGGTGCCCTTGGGGGAACGTACAGACTATGAGAGCGGGTTCAGCCACTGCTTTCTGGATGGGAGCACCACACCGCTGCTCCCCCTAATCACTAGCCATCCCACACTGGCTATCACTTCACATTAATTTACCGAAAGTTAAGTACATTTAGACACTTAGACGAGGTTTTCCAAAGGAGCAGATGGGTGTTGGACATTCAAGTTCCACCAATTTACAAATCGCAAAGCCCAGTTTTAAATAAGTGGCTTGACTGTCAGAGGTTCTGAACGCTGAGAGGTGCCTGGTACCCTGGCAAACCGGGGCCTGCCGTTCAGTGCCTGGCTACGAAGCTATGGGGATGGCTGACTACTCGGTTCTGGAGTCGCACTGAGAAAATGGAGACGCCATTTCAGGTGAAACAAGTGCCTGAAAAAGGTTCCATTTTGGCTAAAACAAAACATTTTGTTTGATCCAAAACAGTTTTTCGTTTCAGTTAATCCAAAACAGCATTAAATTTGGTCTCTAAAGATCATTTTGAAGCAAAACGTTGAACTGTTTTGTCATTCTTAAACCATCTCAACTGTTCTGGGTTTTTTCAGCCCAAACTATTCCAGACATTGCATCAATCCACAGTTGTTTTTTGTCAAATAAACTCTTCATTTTAGATGTCCCTGGGCACCCGTTTGATACTTTTGGCTCACTTGTGAAGGTATCTAAAATTACCCACTTTTTACAAAGTTTTCTTGGTCCCAGACCTTCCCCATCATTCAGATATTTTTAACAACTGAAAAACAAAAAAAGATCAAAGGTAAAAAGCATAACCTTTGTCGCTGCAAAAAATGGCCTAATAACCCAGCAGATGGAGGGACAGCCTGCCTCAGCATCCCAGGAATGAGACAGCCCTTCACGTCTAGGCTACTGGCTCCGATTCAGCTACTCGAGCAACAAGATCCCTGCCACCCACCATGCATTTGGTGTCCTTTATGAAATGAGCTGATGGGCCTCAGTCCAATCCCCACAGGATGGAGACACTAATAATACACATTATCTATAGCAGCCCGAGCAGGAAATCCAGAGGCAGCGAGCCTTGTTTTGTAAAGATCTCAGCATGCAGTAACTCCTACTGAAGATAGGGCCCAATCAGGGGTACTGCTTACTCTGGAAAATCATAGTAAAACAGTTACTCAAGACTCCAGTGAAGTTCCTTCCAGCTTAAAGCTGGGGTATATTGGTAGGAGACTGATGGGGGAAATTGCTCTGATGCAGCTACATGGGGGAGAAGGTACCGAAAGGCGGCGCATCCATCTTACCTCTACGCCATGAGTCTGAATGTTCCTCAGAGCCCGCTCCAGACCCCCAACCTGGTTGGAGAGCTGTATGGTGCTTTCCTGCAGTCGCTTGTTTTCTTTGTCCAGGAACTGCACTCTGCGAAGGTCACACACACACACAGAGCAGTTTACTTCCCGCACGTGAACCTTGGCTTCTAACCACTTGATGTTGTCAGAGGGGCATTTGCTCTCAAGCTCTCTACACAGAAAGGACTCAGGTAAATTCTCTGAGCCTATTGCCCCCACAAGACGCGTGCTGCAGAAGTCAGGTTCCATGCCCCACCAGGGCCAAGCCCATTCCAGGTGAAGCGGCCTTGACTACATCTGTTAGTTAGCCCGAGCCATTGTTGTGTTACTCCCGGTTTACTCCACACACAGAACAAGGGTTTCATTAGTTACATGGGCAATAGCATTGCAGAGCACAGACCCATGAGACAAACTTCATCCCTCCTGGTTTGAACTCTGGTCTAGGTTGCTAAGCTAAAACTGCTCTTTCTCCAAAGTGAGATAAGTAACGGCACCTGCTCTGAATTGTGGAAATGATCCGCTTGTTGTTCCGACCAACTTCTTCCTGCTCATTAAGCTGCTGTAAGAGTTTTCTGTTTTCCTGGAGCAAACGGTCATTCTCTGTGGTGACCTGCTTGATCAATGCATGTTCCTGTGTGTAAGGAAACATAAGGAAATAACAACAGCAACAGTACCTAACTCTTACCTG